GTGTGTGTGTGTGTGTGTGTGTGTGTGTGTGTGTGTGTGTGTGTGTGTGTGTGTGTGTGTGTGTGTGTGTGTGTGTGTGTGTGTGTGTGTGTGTGTGTGTGTGTGTGTGTGTGTGTGTGTTAATGGCTAGCCTCCAGCTCAGTGGGGCATGGGGCATGGCTTGTGGTGCCACAGTGACAATGACATTTGGACACAGCCAGAGCTGTTTCTTTCTGTATCCTTAATTTCAATTTTGTTTATGTTTAGCGCTTTTTACTGAAGGCTTTGTGAAAATATACAGCAATATAGTTCATGAAAGACTGAAAAACAGCTGATCTTGACATTTGAGATGTATTTTTTCTACAAATGTAATATACTTGATGTCATAGTAATTCATTTCAACATTTAATTTGTTATCATTATTATTGTCAATTAATCAACTCATCAAAAAAGTAATAGTAGTATATTTCTTTATATGCATTGTTATATTGCATACACTAGATATCCACCATTTCATTGGTAATATGAATATATTTGCTATATCTTCTTATCTTTAATTCAAGTGCAATGCCTTGTTTACATACAAAACTATTTCCCAATTTGTGATCAATAAATGATACTTACCTAATCTCATCTAAAGAAACTGTGTATTAGATATCTAGAAAATATGCTGCTCTCTTGTAAGACCCTCTTAGAATATCAGTTAAGTATTCACTGCATACAAATCAACATACATGTCTGCTTTGAATGTGAATTACTAATTCTCTCTCCCGGAAACAGACACTCGAATGAATGAAAAACAACTCAGCCAATAAACTCTCATAAACAAACACTTGATCTGTAAAATAAATGCTCCACTTTGCAGACATCCAGCAATTATCTGCCATCCATCTCTATACAGACGCTGTAATTCTGTCTCCTTTGTCCCGCAGTCAAGAATGTAATTGGTTTTCAGTCAGTGAAAGGTTTTTTTTAATGGCAGGCTTATTTGTGTAGCTACATTGTGTTCAACAGCCACAGTTTACATTTTACACGACTCTAGACGGATCATTATCTTCATCAGTATAAGTACCCTCAATCATGCTCTCATTTGGTCTGATAATTCCTCTGTGTTTCTGTGGAGAAATCTGTTATGTTGTATGCATGCCAGACATATTACTAACAATGTGTTTAGGTTTGAAAGAATAGATTTAAAGAGGACATGTGTGGCTTCATTTCAAGTTCACATTTGTTTGTTCTGCGTCTACTGGGACATGTTTCCACGCTTAAAGGTGGGGTAGGTCATTTTGGAGAAACCAGCTCGAGTGCGCTAGAATTTGAAAATACACAGCCGGAAAAAATCTGCCACTTCCTTACAGACCCCCTCCTCCAACACACAGGAACGCGCACATGACCAATGAGGGCACGAGATAAGCTTGTGCACAGATGGAAGGCTGACAGGCAGGTAGGCCATCCAGTTATTTTAGGCGGACCGGCTAAAATGATTGGTCGTGCTTTTTACAGTACCACGGCTTCCACAGATGACATTTTTTTAATGGATTTTTTGTCAAAGCACTTCAGATATTCATTGCTATCAGGATGTTAAGAGCATTCCATGGAATATAACAAAAAGTGTATCTCGAGCCGGTTTCTTAAACTTACCTACCCCACCTTTAAATGTTCAAGAAGCTCTTTATTTTTCTCATACTGCCTGTGCTGCAGCACCTCTTTTCACCCTCTGTCTGAAACCAGAGCCTATTCTGTTCTGGTTAGCTGGCCGGCTCTGTTGTGATTGGTCAACCGCTTAGAGATGTCCCGCCCTTAGCATATCACATACAATGTGTTGGAGAGCTAGCCAATAGAAGCACAAGAGTTACAGAACACAGAGATGTGTGCCTTTGCAAACCATGTACATGCACAACAACCTATATAACACACTAGAGGAAAGGGACAACTACCAAAGCATAACAGGGCCCCTTTAATGTGTGATTTTCTGCTCTTAGCGTTCACCTCCATGCAGAGCGAGGGTGGTTATATTCCAAGAAGTAAGTTCCAACACTGTGGTTAATCAGAGGCAACACAAGTGAAGAGTACTGTGTCGAGGCGAAAATCTGCTTCCAAATGTGGACTTTAATGTGCAAACTGCATTCATTTCTCTCCCACTGCGCCTCTGTGGAACAAAGAGATGGACTGGTGCTAACAAAGGGACAGGTAGAAAGGAGAAAGGGGGTTTGAGGGAGAAGAAAGGAAAGCCGATGGAGCAGGGTGGAGTGGAACGGATGGAGCGAGAGAGAGAAGGCGGAAGAAAATGAGCACTGAAAGTATAAAAGCTTAAATCAAAAGAATAAAACATTCCTCAGAATCCGGCAGAGACATAGCGTTAGAGGAGAGGGAGAGAGATTAGAGGTGGATAATGTGCATGTATCAGGCAGAGAGGGGAGGGAATAGACATCATTTGTGGGGAAAATGTGAGCTTGTTATGGTATCACTGAAGAGGAGGAGCACACACACTCCAGCGGTAGGGCAGATGCTGCACGGCATTTGATCATTTGCTCATTATAATCACAAAGTAACAGTCCTGAAAGACGACCTTACTGATCAATATTCCTGTGCTTGAGGCAATGAATGTGCAAATGAACAAGCTTGAGAAAGAGCAAAGGCACCAACACTCAAGGTCAACTCGGCTCTGCTTCTGCTTGGTCTTTGTTTGATTCTTGGATCCCTTTCGTGCCCTCTCATCCCTCTCACCTCTCTCGTTGCTTCTTCCCTTCACTGTCTACTGTTTTGAGTTCAAGCATACAGTGCTTTTAGCTCTGCTGGCAGACTGGAGAGGGGCTTAGAGATTTGTTTAAACTCTGGACAGAGTTCCCAGAGGCAAAGCCAGACCGATTGAGGAACCTTTACAGTCTGCATGTGTTTAGGTGTGTGAGTGTGTGCATGTGTCCACAATGTGGGGGTACTACACCAAGCATACAGAGTGTAATCTGCCCCACATAAGCCAGGTCAAATTTAGTTGAATCCCTTTGAGAAAGCAGTTAGATGAAAGGGACCACGGCTAGATGTGTGAGCCTGGAGTCTCTCATTTGGGCTGCAGACGTTCATGTTCTACAGCTTCATTTTTTATTCTCGCACTTGAGGTGTGTGTGTGTGTGGGTGGGTGTGTGTGTGGTGAATTAAGTTTGCACTAAATGATTCAGCATCTGTGAGTCTGCTCAGCGAGGGTGGGCTCCTGGGTGAGAGGGCAAAAGGCCATGTGTTTGAATACTGTCCATAACACTACTCACACACACACACACATGGGCGTCGCAGCCATTATATGAGGGTGGGACAAGTCCCCCCCACTTTTTCAAATGATTAGTTTAGACCCCCCCACTTTTACTATGCGGAAAGTCCGTGAATCGGTCTATCCACTCGCTGCACTTTGTAGAGCGCTGTGTCAGTGCTTCACTATCAAATTAAATCCATTCCACTTGCTTATTGAGAGAATGCCCAAATCAATGAAACTCCGTTCCATGTTTTCACTGCTACTTTGTACCAAGGCAGATTCTCACATAGCGCGCGCACGTTCAAGGAGTGATGTCATAGTTGGACAGCTCAGATCTGTTGTATGAAGCGATGCCGGTAGCGGAGGTAAGGCACACACACCAAATGTTCAGGAAATGGTTAATACAGCGAAAATCAAAGCTGACGATCTCTTGGTTTGATATGTTTTCTCCCCCAGACAACATGGACATAAGAACATTTTTTTCAAAGAAGAGGAAAATAAGTCATCAGCTGGTAGCAGTTAATCAGTTAACAGTGATGGCGGCGTCTCACTTCTGGAGAGGAGTTTCGTCTTTATGTCATGATAGAGAGATACAAATACTGAATAGTTTAGATGAGAAAAGGCATCAAAATGCCAGGTTACTAGTATTTATCAGTATTTATTATCACTTCACCACCTCTCTTGACATCTAGGCACTTGAGAGTGAGTCAGAGGCAGAATACAGGGACAGAGAGAGAGGTCCATTGCTGAGGTGAGTGATGAAAGGGAAATGACAGTTGAGAGTAAATTGTGATGTGGACTCTCATCCCAGGATTTTAAGGAAATCAGTGGGGATATTGAACAGGAAACATTTCAGTCAAGAGGCATCATATGACCAATATAGACAGAAGAGCAACATTTATTTGAACATTTAAGTCAATGATACCATTCCTAGGTGAACTTAACATACGTATGGAGTCAGATCAGTCTCAATATTAATAAATGCTCACAGAAGGATTCACAAATGTATTTTGCGATTTATATATAAATGACTCTCCACAACAATATCTCTCAATGCACTCACAAATATTTATTGTTGTATATAAATGTACAAAAAATGGGCATTTAAACTGCTTTTTATTAATTCAAAGACGGCTCTGAATTAATAATCAAATATGTTTCCTTTCTTTACTACTGGATGAAATTACAAAATGTACCCATCATTTTCCTCATGCTAGTATAGCCACATAAAAGTATCAAACCACCTGTTAAAATGCACCAGAATACAGGAAATCTATATATTTTTTCACCCCCGTTAAAAATGTCCCCCCCACATTCAGGATGCTTCCTACGCCCATGCACACACACACACGCACACGCACACTCACACACCTGAACACAGAGTCCTGAGTGCTTTCCGAGACACACCTCACTAATGTATCCCCGCGAAACCTGTAATGTACTCCAGTCTCACACTCCTGATGTATTTTTCTCGCTATCTGTACAGAAAGATCGAGAAGTCATGCCTATACTCCCATTGCACTTCTCTTATTATGTCTTTCTCCGTTGGCCAAACACATTGACATCATTATCCATCATTTACATTTCTTTACGATTGCTTGATTTTGAAAACAGTGCTGTGTGTAGTGTTTTGCAAAAAGTGTGCTTAGATCTGGTATTCGTTTTACTCCCTAAATGTCAGATTCAATAGTTGTGCTTTGTGACATTTAAGTGTGTATGTAATTTGATATTAAACCTCACTTTTTCCCCCCTTCTCCACCATCTCTCTTCCTTGCAGGACAGCGACATTCAGAAAAAGATTGACCATGAGATCCGGATGCGGGACGGGGCCTGCAAGCTGCTGGCCGCCTGCTCTCAGAAGGATCAGGCGCTGGAGGCGTCCAAGAGCCTGCAGACCTGCAGCACTCGCATCATGGCCTACATGACGGAGCTGCAGAGGATGAAGGAGGCGCAGATCATGCAGAAGGTCACGCGGAGGTCGTCGGATGCAGGGCCGATGGACGACAGACACCCGTGCAAGGGAAAAGTAGCCATCTCAGGCGAGTAAAATCTTACCTTAAAGGTCACCTATTATGCAAAATCCACGTCTTCATGTCTTCTCTACATCAACATGTGTCCCCTCTGTGTAAAGAGATTCTGAAAGTTTCAGGAACAAAGATTCTCTCTCTTTTTGTCCTGATCCATTTATATAAAAACCTGTCTGAAAATGAGCTGATCAGATTTTGGCCACTTCATGATGTCATAACGATTTTTTGGCTTGGTAACCATTAGCCAATCACCAACCAAGGTAACCCCCCCCCCACCTTATCACCTGAATCTCCTCCTAGAGCACCATTGTGTTCTTTTTAACCAAATATCTCTGAGGGGCGTGGGGAGGGGCTCCTTATTTTCATCTAAAGCAGGGGTCTGCAACCCTCTTTAAGCCCTCTGCTCTGGCTCCCTTGAGTTTACACATAAATAAGAAGGAAATTAAATAAAAGTATTTGTAGGACTATTTACATTTTGTTGCATTTTGAGGTGATACTGTGACACATAAAAAAAAAAAAAAACGGTTTTAATTAGGTTAACTAAAATATGCGTCACATCCTGCTACGGTCCCGCGCCAGCGCCTTTTCTTGCAGGCGAATAACCTGACCCCCGGCTCGATGAGCGAACTATGGATAAATCAAAGAAAATAAAAGTATCGGAGGAACACAGGATTTAATTCTGCGTGGAGAGAGTTATCTGCTTTCACAGCAAACGATGCTGGCTTACCGAGATGTTTGATATGTGGAGAGAAGTTGTCAAAGGTGCTGCAGCCTTTACGTATTGGAGGAAAAACACGGAAGAGGAAGACAGCTGACGATCTTCAGTCATAATTCAATCAGTTAACTCTTTTTAGGGTGCAGCTATATGTTTTATTTATTTCAAAGTGGGTCCATTTTAATTATATTCATTTTCTTCAAATGTGCAGAGGACTCCCCAAGTGCTGTGTTGATTTATTTTAAAGTAGGCCTGTGTATTTTTTTTAATTCTCCTTATAAGAGTTCTTTGTTTCTTATTAGAGGATAACAGTTTTCTATAATGTAATAAGTAATAAATAATAAATGCAAAACAACTAGTTTTTGTCTATGATGTAACAATAAATACAACTTTATAAGCTATCAAATATGTTTTGCGGCTCCAGACAAAACAAATTGTTGGAAAAGGGGGCAAAATGGCTCTTTTGGTCAAAAAGGTTGCAGACCCCTCATCTAAAGTAACAGACAGAGAATCAGAACTTTTGAAACAGGGCTGAAACAGAGGGGATTATGGGATGCTGCAATGATGTGTTTTGTATATATCTGAGACCTATAATATATTGATGAAAAGCAGTATAATAGGGCACCTTTAATGTATTTATTTGGTATATTTTGACATGGACCAGCTGTTATTAAGATCTTGGTGTTCACTTTAATGTTACAATTCAATCCAGAGCTCCTCTTCTCAGGCACAGGCTGAGTTAAGGTGCTGCGCTTTGCAAAATGACAGCGGGCAGTTGGTTGACTGATTATGGAGCTGCTCTGTTTGCATCACTGACGCACTGCAGAGAGATCATTCACACCATGGAAACCAAGACAGGGTTTTCTTTGTTTAAGTTTGTTTTTAGAACATGATGAGAATGTAAAAAAATACATATTAATGAGCTGTGAGACAGTGGGTGTAGGTTCATGGGGCCACCGCTGCATGTCTTGTACCCAGCTGGAGAGCAAACTACACACACACACACACACACACACACACACGCACACGCACAGTAATTCGCTATGGACACTTTAGCCAGTGCAGCCCACATATGAGTTTGACAGTGAGGCTGATTAACATTTTTGTGGTCTAATCTCTTGTCTCTTGTGGTTACAGATCTCCGTATCCCTCTCATGTGGAAAGACACGGAGTACTTCAAGAACAAAGGAGGTGAGCAGCCACCTCTGTATGCATGTGAAGAAATTCATTGATAGAGTATTAATGAGTAATGCCAGCAGGATTTAATAATGATTCGCTTCATGGGGAAGTGATGTAGCTTTACACATTATGAAATGGCTCATTCAAAGATGTGTTAAAGCTTTGTATAATCACAGAGCTGAGTGTGGGATTTATCGCAACTAATCTCCTTTTATCATTGGCTAGAGGTTGAAACACTGATATAGATTTTTAGTGTTATATTTTAAAATGCCCCTGACCCATTTAACTGTGCAAACAGACCATACAGGATGGCATTTTCTCTATTCTATGCAGCACAGTTCCTGGAGCTGATCATTACAATCTGTTGCAGCTTTACCATATATCTCCATATTTTCCAGGAACAGATTTCTCTAGCTATGAGAGACTCCTGGCAGCACGACCTGGTCCTCAGCACGGGCTGCTGGCTTTGTCTCTTGGCTCTGAGAAGCAGCAGCACACAGGTGCTAAACTGGGTCATTAAAGGGCATGCCGGAATGTGTCCTAAATCCCGGAAATTAGTTCGCATTTTACCACATCTGGTTCCCTTTTTCTCAAAGTCGACTTCTTTTTGAATGTGATTTGGTTACATGCCTGACAAAAGGTCTGTGGTTAACACAAGCGTAAGAGACATTTAAATCTTATTATACCACCTACAATACATCAGTACATTTCCCCCTTCTAAATGTCAAAAGCTATTGTGTCATAAAAACCGGCTGTTTCTAACTAGTGAATAAATGAGACTGCTAAACGAAATCACGCCAAATATTAGCCGCCTTTAGCTATTAGCAGTATTAGCTTATTTTCTTCTGGCAATTTATTTTACGCTTCTAAAATCATAAAAGTTGTGTTATATGTAGTGATTATCCTGCTGTACAAAATGTATAAGTATCATAAATGTGTTTGACATAGAACTTATTTTCTGCAATAACCCAAAATCCCCTTTCTTTTTGTCGAAGGAAGCCCTCGCGATGCTAACTTCTGGGTTAGCCTAAAACACGTCATCACTGCACCACTCTGTTATAAAGCCATTTGAAAAGATCTGTGTTGCATTTCAGGGACTCCTTTTTTCCGTGTAATATTACTGATGTGAACCATTTCACATATAAATGTTTTTTTTATGGCATTTTAGCCTTCAACTGTGCACTGACATTAAGCAAATGGAGATATTTAGATTGATTATTTGCTGTTCCTCCCCCTCTCAATAAAGTCAATGTGGGTTAACCCCCGTGCGATCATTATAACCGTCCCTGAGCTCATTCTCTCCCCTGGCAACTAGAACGGGATTAATCTGCATGACCTGTGCATGTAAATGAACTCAAGAGACAGGTAGTAGACTCTTAACAAAGCTTAATGAGGCTGTTAGTCAAGGTCATTAAGCACACCCAGACATAAACTGAGCCCAGGAGGTGAGGAGGAGGAAAGTACGCCATTTGCCACGTGTTCAATCACATTTGAAACAGAGCGTTGAGCACATACTCGGAATAACAAGTGTGAGTCTTAAAGGTGGGGTATGTAATTTATTTCAGAAACACTTTTTGTTATATTCCATGGAATGCTCTTAACATCCCGATAGCAATGAATATATTAAATGCTTTGACAATAAATCCATAAAAAAATGTCATCTGTGGAAGCTGTAATACTGTAAAAAGCACGACCAATCATTTTAGCCGGCCCGGCTAAAATAACTGGATGGCCGACATGCCTGTCAGCCTTCCATCTGTGCACAAACTTATCTCGTGCCCTCATTGGTCATGTGCGCGTTCGTGTGTGTTGGAGGAGGGGCTCTGTAAGGAAGTCTGAACGAAAGGGCAGATTTTTTTCGGCTGCGTAATTTCAAATTCTAGCGCACTTGAGCTGGTTTCTCCAAAATGACATACCCCACCTTTAAGTGTCAATGTGCCATACACAAGGAAGCATATAGGTAGGAGCCTTTTCAGTTGTAATGTTAAATGTGAGGCAAAATTAATTAGTGATAGTAAAGATAGTAGACTAACAGGTAGCATATTTTTTTTTAAATACAACATGATTGTTTGAATATAAGTCTTACTTTTATTATGAATGTCATGGTTTCTGCACAGGAATTGACCATCATCCTAGTGAAGCTTATCCCAAAAGGGTTTTACAGCTTTTTACAATGCCTATTTCCTGAGATAGTTTCTTTACAATGTTGGAATAACGACTGTGAATATTAAGTGTCATTGTGCCATAAACAGGGAAGCATATAAGTGCTAAACTGGGTCATTATATACTACACTATATATATTATTATTTCAACTCATTAGCCACTGTAACATTAAAACCAGGGGACTCAGTTTTAACTACAAAGCAAGCTAACAATACTTCATGGTAATTCTTTGCACAGCTGGTCATTAAGATCGCTGAAGTGAAACTAACAACAGTGGAAGTGTTTGTCAGCCAGGTGGAGGAGCCGCTCTTGTTTCAACCTTTAACTGCTCAGGTCATAAGCCCTCTGTAGCCTTAGGGTTAAACATGTTGTTTACTTAGATCTACGCGATGATAGTGTTTTGGAGCTGAAAGGTAGTTTTCAAGTGATGCAACTGAATGAAATCTCTTGACATGTCACATAAATCACAGGTTTGTTTTCTAACTTTCTTTCCACGCACCCTTTCCTTTGTAGAGCTTCATCGGTGTGCAGTGTTCTGCCTGGTGCAGCTCGGAGGAGAGATCTTTGACACAGACATGGTGATAGTGGACCGGACACTCACCGATATCTGCTTCGACAACACCATCGTATTGTAAGTCATCCATCTCAAAGGATTCAAAGGCTTTACTTGTCATATGTGCAAAAGCTACAGCGTGGTTTTGTCAATTAAATTGTTATGTCTCTAAAAACAATGCAACACATGAAATACTTAAAGGGGACCTATCATGCAAAATGCACTTTTGCACGTCTGTTATACATGAATATGTGTCCCCGGTGTTCCAGGGAACTCACCAAGTGTCAGAAAACACAACCCTCTCTATTTTCCTCCATACCCAAATCTCTAAAAAAGGGGCTGCAACGGATCTGATAAAAACTGATCCAGATTTGAACACTGTCCTGACGTCAGGACAGTGGCGCTACGGCTATTGGGCCAACTCCACCAATCAGGAGGAGACAGCCACGGCCATTGCCGTTCGAAAGCGCTGGAGACGCTGTAGTACATATGCCAGGCCTGTAGATGGTGCTGTTCTCACTGAATCAGCCCTTGCAAAAACAGAGCTAAAAAATGTCAAATTGAGCGAAATGAGGCATGGCTAAAATGCATGATCTGTTTGGTATTTTGAAAAAAAAAAAGTATAAATATGCCTTATATAGGTATGGTCCTACACTATATTATTCAAATATAGCATGATAGGTCCACTTTAACAATAAAATACATAACATAGTTTAATTGACTAAATGGTTCAAGTTAGTTGTAGGAATAAGACTAATATGTTCATGTTAAATAGAACATTAAACAGAATTGAAATACAATAACTCTAATTGTTGCAAAAAGGTAATGTTCCTTAAATCCTTGTGCAATATATATGCCGTTAATAACTGTGCCATATATACCTGGCTGCTAAATCCTCAGAACTGTTACATGATGTGTACTTTGTAAATTGTGTAACTTATTTTTTATTATAATTGTTCTATTTTTAACACTTTTGTATGCATGCTTCTTAGGTAACATTAAGCTGTCTTTGGCTCTTTTCTGCTGTAACAATGTAAATGTCCCCTCTGTGGGACTAATAAATTCTGATTCTGATTCGCAGTAGTGAAGCCAACCCTGGTTTTGAGATGCGTGTAGAGCTGTACAGCTGCTGCTCAGAAGACGACTACTCAACAGGGAGCACGCCCAGGAAGCTAGCCAGCAAACTGAGCTCGTCGCTGGGCAGATCGGCGGGGAAGAAGTTCAGGTCGGCCATGGAGCCTGGGCCGTGTAGTCCTGTTGGCAACGGGGGGGCAACTCCTCTGCTTCTGCCAGTTCCCTCTGTACCGTAAGTTTAAAAATATTTGACATACTTAGTTGAGGGTGGAAGCTGTAAGAATCTTTAAAACCTGAGGGAAAGGGTTTTCATATAGAAAAATAAGTAGCAACACATCTGGGACTAGGAGAGAAGATTAAGAACATTTCATGCAAGAAAGAAAGGAGAAGAAGGTGAGGAAAAAGGAGAGAGGGTGTGGTGAAATCCAGACTCAGAATATGGCCCAGTAACTTAAAGTGGGCGTTAAGAATTATAGGGAAATATCCATTTGGACTGCAGGAAATATGCACCAAAGATAATAGACGTGATGGAGGGACTGAAGAGAATAAGGGGTGATCATAAGGAAAGAAAAGCACAGACTGGACTGTGGGGAAGCTGGACCAGGGAGCAAATGTTTGGTAATATTTTTTACCAAATATGAAAACTGGATACTGATAAGGTGGTTGTAATGCAACACTAAGGATACAAGCTGCATTTAAACACAAAAGAAGGAGAGTAGAGGGAGAATACAGAGTGAAATAATGTTTATTTCAGAGAGTACAAAAATACTTAATGGAGTTGTTTTGAGAAAATGGATGCTCAAACCAAAACATAAATTTGTATTCCTTCTCTTGTGTGTTGACAGGGGTCCTAAGTACCACCTTTTAGCTCATACCACCATGTCGCTGTCACACATCCAGGACAGTTTTCGCACACATGACCTCACCATCTCAGGCAACGGTGAGTGGCAGCCTCCATCAATCTGTCGCCTCTCCATCTTTCTCTGCTCTCTGCCAAATCCGCCATCTGTCTCTTTTTTGTGCTTCACTCATCACCGTCTCACTTCTGTTCTCAGCACTTTAATAATTTCCCTTAACCAAAGCGTACACTTCCTCCTCCCCCTTCTTCTTCTTCTACTTCCTCTTCTTCTCTGTCCCCCCCCATGTTCTCTGACAGACAGCCATTGTCAAGGTCAAAGTTATAAAGACTGCTCTAGTGAGGTGTCTGCTGTGTAAAGCTGTGATGATGTGGGCTAACAAGGGCCCGGACCCCTCAGACAGACAGGCCCCTAGTGTTTTATTCATTGGCCCTTCAGCGTGCAGTAAAGTTTCATTGCTGCACTTCATGACACTCCCTGCAGCTGCCAGTCTTTTACACCCTTTCCCTTTTGTGTGTGTGTGTGTGTGTGTGTGTGTGTGTGTGTGTGTGTGTGTGTGTGTGTGTGTGTGTGTGTGTGTGTGTGTGTGTGTGTGTGTGTGTGTGTGTGTGTGTGTGTGTGTGTGTGTGTGTGTGTGTGTGTGTGTGTGTGTGTGTGTGTGTGTGTGTGTGTGTGTGTGTGTGTGTGTGTGTGTGTGTGTGTGTGTGTGTGTGTGTGTGTGTGTGTGTGTGTGTGTGTGTGTGTGTGTGTGTGTGTGTGTGTGTGTGTGTGTGTGTGTGTGTGTGTGTGTGTGTGTGTGTGTGTGTGTGTGTGTGTGTGTGTGTGTGTGTGTGTGTGTGTGTGAATATTTTATTTATTCATGGTGTTTATCTTTGCCCATCTCTTCTCTTCCCTGTAGAGGAGTGTTCCTATTGGCTGCCGCTCTATGGCAGTATGTGTTGTCGCTTCGCAGCTCAGCCTCACTGTATGACCCGACAGATGATGAGTGGATGTTTGAAAGTGAAGGTAAGTTGGCAGGTGTGAAAGGGGAAATATCCCTCTCCGGGTTTGAAGAGTTTTTGGCTTTTGTCCTGGTTTATTTCTGTCTTTATGTCTTCCTCCTCCTCCCTTCTCTTGGTGATTCTCTCCATGTCTTTCACTCCACACATGACTGATCTTTTTCTCCACCTCGCAGCAGTTGGGAGGTGAACCTCAGAGTTGGACTAAAGTGTACGGCGTGCTAAAAGGAACAAGCCTTTTCTGCTACCACCGGCAAGAAGATGTGGAGGCTAACGTCGAGCCAGCTTTCACCATCGCCATCAACAAGGTCAGCAAAGGAAGCACAAACAAATATCTGAGGTTGATCCTGACTTACAAAACCAATAGAGTTGTTTTGTTTTACGCTTAAGGCATCAGTAGCAAAGATGGAAAGGTATGGACTTGTGATTTGCTGCCAATTTGAGTCTCTAGCCAGCTGGTAGACCATGAGCCAAGAAAAATTGAGCTCTTCTCTTAGTAACTACTATTAAAGTGCCTTTCAGCAAGGAACTTATCCCCTAGTAACCCAATGTAGAGCTGCTTGAAAGCCAAGAGGTGGAAACTGGCTCTCAGCTTTCAGGTGTAACTGTGTAAAATGTTCAGCAAGGCTTGAAAAGAGCAGGCATCTCCAGATAAAAGGCTTTGAAGATTTTCAAATGAGATTTGTTCAGGGTGTTCTCCAGTCTTTGCAAACACAGTAAGACACAGTTTTCAGGCTCATCTAACTACTAATCATATTTCTTTCATCCCTCGTCCCGATTTTCCAGGCACAAATATGAATAACATGGGTCCTTGATCGTCTTATGTCCTGTGTCTGTGTCTGAGTTGATGCCTGTGGGCCTTCCCATTCCTCCCGTGGTGACTCATTCAGTCTTTGTCTGACCCTGATCTCACAGCTGAACCTGAAGCCAAGTCAGACACATCAGAAGAGTCTGTATGATCCTTTTGTTAGTCAGTTGTCTCTTATTAAGAGTGAGGAGGGAGCGCGGGGTGATGAATGGAACAACACTGCCATCTAGAGGTCAAAAACACACTTAGACACATTTGGAATAGAACGAGGATGTGGGAATTGGGAGTCTGCACCTTTTGTTGGATAATTGCAGAAGGGAAATGGATTGGAAGAGGGCTAATTAGCGGCTTATTAGTCAGGGGCTTATTTTCAGTGGAGACTCACAACTACAATTGCTGTAATAATCACTTGTTGCGGTGCATAATTTTGTTCATTCAGGAGTGCTGGCATTCATTCGTGATTGTAGTCATTTTGTAGCAGACGATTGTATTCTTTGTCGCTCATTTTTTCAGGAGACCAGAATACGTGCGTCAGAGAAAGACCCTCAAAGTAAAGTTCAGAATATCTGTATCAGTAACCAGTACGGAGGTGAGGAGGTTACACACACACTGACGTCAGACAGCCGCGAGGACACACACCGGTGGATGGAGGCCTTTTGGCAACATTTCTACGACATGAGTAAGTGTTTGCTTTAACATAGGAAGCGTGTGAAGACAGTAACTCACATTAACCATAGCTACATAAAGTTTTCCATATATTGTTTTGTTAAAATGAGTTTTTCTTCAAAATACAGGCCAATGGAAACAGTGTTGTGATGACTTAATGAAAATTGAACTGCCATCGCCACGGAAACCGACTCCCGTCACACCAAAACAAGGCTCACTCTATCACGAAATGGGTAAGATTTCACTGTGATAATATCATTGTGAATATGAAATAAAAAAGTATTATTTTAGTCGATGAAATAAGTAACTAAACATAAACATTGAGGCAGGGAGAGAAAGCATTGCGTCTGCATTGCATGTGACTGTGTGTAGCTTTAATTCCTTTCAGTCTATGTGCATGTGAGATGCTGTCATAATCAAATGTTCCTCTGCGATATCTCGAACTCACACTCTGCTGCTTGACTTCTGTAGAATCGAATCTTATCTCTGACACGCTGACTCTCTGTCTTCTCTTTCTCTGTTCCTCTTTGTCCTTTCCAATTGTCCTCGTGTGTCCTGAATCCATCGCTCCTTGACTCTGTCTCTTTTGTCCTTTTATTATTTCCCCGTGTCCTCATAAATATGTATAATCAACGCCACTTTTTTCATCAACTATCCTTGAGTGATTTCTTCTTCCCTTCTCTCATCATGCCATAACATTCATTTCCTTAATAAACAATAAACCCTTATCGATTTCTCCCGCCACCATCAAAACACACACTTAACTCCACCTGTTGCACACCTCCTATCCTCTCCACCCTTTCTCTCTCGCCAACCTTCCCTCTCGGTTTTCCTAACCCCCCCCCCCCCCCCCCCCCCCCGCCCTGGCAGCCCCTCTTGCCACGCCCTCCTCTGAGGGTCTTCTGCTGCAGGATAACGCTGTGTCTGCTGAGATTCGCGCTCTGCTCTCGTCCTATTACAACGACAGGTGAAGTAACAGGTGTAGGGCTCCTTGTAAATGATGTTGTGGTAAATGTTGCAGTCCAGGATTTACTGCAAAACCACCATAAGGTCACTGATGGTGGGAATATTATGCAAAACATTAAAGGACAGGATCTTTTTTTCCTTCATCATTATAAAATAACTTAAAAACAATATCAAAACATCTTCTTCTTCTACTTCTTCTTCTACTTCTAAGAATACATTTCAAACTAACATTTTATGAAGTGCAAGTATGTCTCTAATCCGTACATAATCCATACTTCCAGGGAGATCGAAATGTTCATTACTTTGGAATTAAACTAATCCTAGTCTCTGACTTAAAGGTGGGGTAGGTACATTTGAGAAACCGGCTCGAGATACACTTTGTGTTATATTCCATGGAATGCTCTTAACATCCCGATAGCAATGAATATCTTAAGTGCTTTGACAAAAAATCCATAAAAAAATGCCGTAATACTGTAAAAAGCACGACCAATCATTTTAGCCGGCCCGGCTAAAATAACTGGATGGCCTACCTGCCTGTCAGCCTTCCATCGGGGCACAAACTTATCTCGTGCCCTCATTGGTCATGTGCGTGTTCGTGTGTGTTGGAGGAGGGGCTCTGTAAGGAAGTGGGAGATTTTTTCCAGTTGTGTATTTTCAAATTCTAGCGCACTCGAGCTGGTTTCTCCTAAATTACCTACCCTACCTTTAAGTGTGAAAAACAATATTAAGAAACAACATTTTAATTATTTCCAAGTTATGGCTGTATTACCAGTTCAAATGTTAAAAACTTTTAATTTGAAAACCCATGCTCCAGATCAGTAAACAGCTGTATAATAATGAGTGTTTCTGCGTCCCTCCTGCTGCAGTTATTGAGTCATCTGATGACCTCAGCACGGTGTCGGACATCCTGGCTCGGAGGATGCAGGAGCTGGAGCTCCGGAGCCAGCTGGGCACCTCCCCGAACTGGATGTCTCTGTTTGAGGAGAACAACCCCAAAAGCGCTGGCCGCCCTCGCCCCTGTACTTCCCGCTTCTCCGGCCACAGCCCCTGCACACCTCACCGCCCCCCCCGCAGCCCTGCGAGCCCCCACCGCTGCCCCCAGCTCAGCCTGCTCTCCTCAGACGCCAGCCTGACCTCGGACAGCGACAGCCACTGCAGCACCAGCCCCTGCTCCCACCGCCACGCCTGGCCCGAGCCCTCCTCAAACTTCTCCCTCCTGTCCTCGTCCCCCTCCCGCCTGAGGCCACGCACCTTCTCCCTGGATGCTAAGCTCAGCACCCTGCGGGGGAGGGGGTTCAGAGGGGGAGGGACCTTCCAGTGCTCCTGCCAGCCTCCTACCTCCTCGCTGCTCACCCCGCTCCCTGTCTCCTCTCGCTCCCCTCGGTCGCAGCGCAGCACCCAGACCACGCTCTCCTGCTCCAGCTCCACCTCCAGCAACAGCTCCAGCAACAGTGAGGGCCGCCACAGCCCTGAGTCCTCCGAGGGGGCCCCCTTCTCCCGGCCCTCCCCGGCCCGACGCAGCCTCAGGAACCTCAGGGCCAGACTCGATCCTCGCAACTGGCTCCAAAGTCAGGTGTGAAGCGCGTGCTGCCAGACAGACATTTTTAACACTGACCTAAAGGCAACAGTTCTCATTAAATCAAGGTTTAACTGGCTTAACATATGTGAACCGACCTCAGGCAGTCTGTTGGCAACATGCACAGCCCTGAGGAGGATAAGCTGCCTCTGGCCTGCGTCCTGGGGGGGGGGGGGGGGTGGATCATTGAAGACCCTCCTGGAGCAAACTGGAATGTCTTCTATCACAAAGGACAGGTGACAATCACTGCAGGCGGCACTTTGCTGAAGATGGTCCAGAACTAAATGGGAGGTACTCTGCTTGCTTTGAAAAATTATTATGGTCATGCTGCTTGTGAGAAAGTGATGTTAAGAGCTAAGGACTTCAGATTAACTCGCCACACTGGGCTCTACTGTCCGCCCTGAAACTAGAAAGGTTTTTTTTTTCCCTCTGCATCCTGGCAACAGAAACAGGATCTCAAAATCATCTCTATAAATGTCACCTGCAGTGTTTTGACTGGATGTTTCCTATCAATATTTAAAAAAAAATCAAGGTTTGCAGTGTTTATGCTATGAAAGCTAGTGAGCATGAGTCGAGATGAACAGGCAAGACGGCCAAGAGTTTTCAAATGATAAAGTGTGGAGGGAAGCGTTGGTGTCTGTCTGCTGTCTGAACTGTGATATCTACTTCAGTGCACGCGTCTAATTATTCATACATGGTTCTCCTAAAATGACTATGCACCATTTTGTTTTGTTTCTGTATGATTACACGTTTCAACCATGAATCTGGTGAAAGCAAATGCTCACACACTGTACTGGTTAATACTGTGATCTCTGGTCTCAACTCCCACACATGTATCTGCACACTATCCACAGGTAGAGGTAGGTAACATATCCCTAAATACATAGGAAAGCATTAAAATAAAAATGTAATAACTCAACTCAAACTTTGAATATCATTAAAAACAAAAGACGTCCTCATAAAACATAATTTTACATTAATGCAGTAGTGTGGGTTTTTTAAGCTTTCCGGTTCCTTATTATAGACATTTCAATAAATGTGAAGCATCCACCAATCATATGTTATAAAACAACTTTTTAAGCAGTGGATTATTATGTGAAACTATAACCAATCAATAGGTCAGAGTAAGAGCAAGCTAATGGTTTACCCTGCCATTTGAGTATTTAATTTTAATTTATGTAAGAAAACAGTCATCTGACTCAAGGCGTCCGTTATACATCTTATAGGAGAGTGTGTGTCTGTGCAGTAAAACCTCTTCTTCTCTTTCTTTTACTGTTGGTTTTACTTTAACAGTTTCTTGGGCCTCAGCACTCGGGTGATTATTTTGACTAAGAAATACAAACTGTCAAATGTTAGAAAAACAGCATTTGTTACTGTAAATTAATTTTTATAAATTAACAAATAAACCTCCTTTTTTTTCTCTTTTGTTACATAATTGATTTTGTTATAAATGCAGCTATATTGATACCCGATTATCATAATGTTAACAGATGATGTGCAGATGTATAACTGTTATGCATAGGTAACATTGAGTGTTATAACCTTGCAAGAGTTTCTCCTGTTAGCAGGCTTTGTGTTCTGCATGTACGCCGTCATAAAGGCGGACATAAAATGAGAAATGTGGAAATCTCCTGTAAAAATAATATTACATTAATTATAATAAATGTTTTATCAATACAAGACTGACACTTTTTTTTCAGCTTCATATTAGTATTTAGTTCCTCTCCTGTGACATGTTTACAGGCTTTAATGTTCAAAAAGCTCTTTATTTCTCTCATACTGCCTGTGCTGCAGCACCTCTTTTCACCCTCTGTCTGAAACCAGAGCGCAGTCTGCTCTGATTGGTTAACTGGCCGGCTCTGTTGTGATTAGTCAACCACTTAGAGATGTCCTGCCCCTTAATCTATCACGTACAATGTGTTGGAGAGCTAGCCTATAGAAGCATGAGTGTTACAAAGTGATTTCACTATGTTCAGGAAGTGAATAAATGAGTCCCTTTTCAGACCTTTTACATTCATAAAAACCTTTAGAACACACTACAGGAAAGTGAAAACTCCAAAAACCACAACAAGGCCTCTTTAAGTCACTTGAAGAGCTCTGCACATCGGGCAGGTGATGGATCATCCATCCATCCATCTTCTCCCGCTTATCCGTGGTCGGGTCGTGGAGGTAGCAGTTCCAGCAGAGAGCCCCAAACGTTCCTTTCCCCTCATCAACCAGCTCTGACTGGGGGATCCCAAGGCGCTCCCAGGCCAGCGAAGAGATATAATCCCTCCACCTGGTCCTAGGTCTACCCCTTGGTGTCTTCCCAGCTGGACGTGCCTGGAACACCTCCCTAGGGAGGCGCCCAGGTGGCATCCTTACTAGGTGCCCGAACCACCTCAACAGGCTCCTTTCGACGCGAAGGATGAGCGGTTCAACTCTGAGTCCCTCACCTTATCCCTAAGGGAGACGCCCGCCACCCTGCGGAGAAAACCCATCTCGGCCGCTTGTATCCGCGATCTCGTTCTTTCGGTCATGACCCATCCTTCATGACCATAGGTGAGGGTAGGAACGAAAATGGCCCGGTAGCTTTGCCTTCTGGCTTAGCTCTCTTTTCGTCACTGCGGTGCGGTAAAGCGACTGCAGTACCGCTCCCGCTGCTCCGATTCTCCGGCCCATCTCACGCTCCATTGTTCCCTCACTCGAGAACAAGACCCCGAGATACTTGAACTCCTTCACTTGGGGTAAGGACTCATTCCCTACTTGGAGTGGACAGTCTATCGGTTTCCTGCTGAGATGAGTGATGGATCATATTCTATCAAAATGTGTTGTTTTTCTCCTTCCACCAAATAATCCCCAAGGAGAACCCTTCTAAAGACGACAGATAAAACACCATGTGCAGTTGTCTTGTAGATTCAAAAAGAAAGGCAGGTAGAACAGAGGCTTTATTCTCATTGTTTATATACCAAAGCCTTATATCTGTCAATAGTACAAATCACTGTTACAAACATTCGAGGTAGTCGACAGCGAGTCTTCACTGAGCATTGTAAAATGCATAGAGAAATACTATGGCCATACTGACTCTGCTTCCTGTTTGCAGTGCAGAGTTTTACCATTGTTGTGCTATTAATAATTGAAATGCTCAAAGTATAAAAAACCATATTAACAAATACATATCGATTAGTATAGAACAGAATCACATAAATACTTTATATTGTATGCTTCATATGAGGCTGATTATTGACTTATGTAACCCAAACAGGGCATTTAACACAAAGTTTGGCAATTCAATGATATACGTTGGATTACATAAGTAAATGAACAATGATACATCGAGATACAGATAAATGAGGGTGCCCTCCATATTTAAATGCTCTTTCTTTGTGCACTTGTGCTTCCTCACGCTCCATGGTCCCCTCTCCTCAGCAGGCACAGCGGGGGTTAAACGCCCGCAGCGCCACCCCGGCCAGAGTTCCCCAGGCGAACGTGGAGAACTTTGCAGGGCACGTGCCAGCTCTGCTGATGTATGACGATGCTATCCGGTGCAGCCGCTTCGCACCGAAGGTGTTGTAGTGTCCTGGGAGGACTTGGTCCACCTGTAAAATGAACGGCTAGTTGTTAAACACTTATAAAAGGATGTACAGCACATGATAAATGAATACACAAGTCATAAGCAGTGTCACAATCGAGTGTCATTTCTCTGGGTTCTGAATGGATCTGAATTCTGTATCTTCATCTGCAGCTCCTTAACAAATGCTGGTTAATCTTGATTGAGGATTAACACGCAAAATACTTCATAATTATATTTCCTATTTTAATAAACAGTTTCTGGAAAAATGTAGGTTGTACATAAAGTATGAAATCTCATTAGTACAGAGGGTAGTTAGTGAAAACAAATCACCCTAAAATGTACTTACATAAGAGGACCATGACATGTTCATAATAGGAAAATAATACAATATTTTGACAATTGGATTAGATACTTTATGGATCAAAGTAGAGCTACTAAGACTCATCAATACGTTTTCAGATTTAAATTAACCATGTTGCTTATCAATGTATTAGTTAGTTTTAAAGAAAACATTGAAACAAAAGTTTGAATCCAGCTTGTAAAATGTAAATATGTTCTGGTTTATGTACTCCTCAGTCACATACTCAAAATATATTTGCTTTGTGGAAACAAAAATAAACTTGATGATTTAATCTTTCCTCTTTGGCAAATACTAATGAACGCTTTTCAGCATTTTTTCAAACAAAGATCATCAGTTCACTCGACAATGAAAACAAAGTTGCTAAATAAAATCTGCTCCAAGGCAGTGGCACTATGAGCTGAAGTAGCAGATACAGTCTGTCTACCCTCAGCTGTGTTTGAGTGTCACCTGTTCGCTGTCCACCAGCCCCACCAGACGCTCACAGCTGCTGATGTAGTCACTGACATGGCTGTAGGGCAGCCAGTCAATCATGGCGCCCTCATACACTACATCTCCACTGAAGAGCATCTTATTGTCCCGGTCGTGGAGGCAGATGCTGCCCCGCGAGTGGCCGGGCATGTGGAGCACGTTCAGCTGTCTGTCGCCCAGGTTAATGACATCACCTAGAAAGACAGAGAAGGAGAGATGTTTACAAAATAATTTAAAGATACTAACACAAACGCATCCCACTCCTAAGCGTATATCCAAACCTCATGTTCCTCACAATTTGGCTGACTGGAAACAAGCCAGGGTTCTGTTTGTGTTTGTTGCCACATATCACCATGTAGTGCAGTTCAGGACATTCAGTAACTCATTGATTTAGTAGAGAAGTTGCACAGTCTTACAGAAAGGTGAAACTGAAATACCAGGCAATGAGATATCCAACTGCACTGCAGCAGTGGCTCTGACACAGCAGAACAAGTCCGTGCATTGACTGACTGTGCATACATTACACAAACAAATCCTTAGTAATATAAGCTTCATGCAGCATTTATGATGCAATTAATGTTAAATTGCAGACATTTGCCAGAATGTGAGTTTTATCTATAGGTGTTTGGTTGTGGTGTATATCTGCAAACAACACAGTGGGTTATGGATCAATCAATGCTGGGATGTTATTAATACTAAGTGGGATGCTTTCCATGAGCATGGCACATCTCTGCATTCTTTTCTTCTTTCTTTCTTGGAAAAAACTGCTGAGTCAGCAGCTTAAAATAGAGCTGATCTGCACTGACAGAAAAAGAATGAGCAAAGCAGCTGCCAACAAAAAAACACTTTTCTTCTTGTCACATCAACACAGTTGGATTCTGTATACAAGCAATTACCACCTGGATAAGTGTTACATCTCAACTCATATTGCACTCCTGCCTAAGCAAATACAAATAAGCATTGTGCACCATCCTTTATGACACTGATGCAAAATGTTGTTAGCAATACTCCACACCTGATATGGTTCCTCTACTTTTGATGTATTCATGAATGTGCACAAATGCATGTCTGCATTCATTTAGCAAGTCATTTTTGATGTTCTGCCAAATGCATTGTGCGGTGTAATCCTCCTGTGGGTGGAGAAATAGGGTTCTGTATGGAGCATAATGTGCAAGAGCATAGCTACTGAAGTCCAGGTGCACCCATTAAATCTCGTCTAACCGGTATCGACCGTGATGCTTATCCCTAATGCGATAAGACATTATGACCTATAGCCTTTGATTACAGGTCCATTCCCTTGTAGTAAACAATAGGTGCCAAGCTTGCATCTCCTACCTACCCTCCTGCAGGATGTGTGTGGGCTGCACAGCCTTCACTCTGTAGTTCCGTGCCCTCCATCCCGGACTGGGAGCCTCGGCTATCTCTCTGTCGCTGAGCCAGGTGGCCGTCTCGAAGTTGTCTCCGTTAGCCACGGCATCGACCTCGGCGCTGTGGACGCCCACCTGTTGGAACTGATGCAGACCCCCCGAATGGTCGAAGTGCGCGTGGGTGGCGATGGCCAGCAGCGGGTTCTTCCTCTGCGGGTCTTCGCCCAGCAGCCCCGCGCCGTCGATGTAGTCAGGTAAGCTCCTCAAGCCCAGCCCAGTGTCTATCACAACGTCCTGGTGCGAGCCGCGCAGCAACCAGATGTTGGCCCGATTTTCCGACTGGTAGAATCGCTCCTGGATCCAGAAGAGTCCGTCTCCCAGCGATTTGTGAGCGTACCAGTCGGCTGCAGACATCCCAGTTCATGCACTGGTCGACGTAACCTGCTGCGGGTGTTGTGCTGTCAGGTGATTTTGCGGCGGAGAGGTGTAAGCTTGAGGTGATGTGTTTTCATTGAGGTTAATGTGATGGTGGCCAGCGGACACACCCTTGCAGGAAGAGAGCGTTCTCACTGGACGACCAGATTAATGACGGCAACATAAAGCGCGCTACTCTATTGGCTGTACGCAAGCCCCGCCTTCTTCACATCACATGGGGGCGGGGCGACTAAAAGCCACATTTACGCATACTGCTGAGTGTAGTCCATGCACATTGCACAGGTTTCCACGTTGCATGTAGAAAGCCGCATCTTTATTACGTTTAACTATACATTCAGTGAATTTAAGGAGTTATTTTTAGTGCCGAACCATAGATACACCGGAGTAGCTGAATGGTATTGACAAGTAAACTGCATAAGTGAAACCATGGAGAGTTAGTACAGGCTAAAAGGCTAAATGCCACCAAAAATCCACTGAGATACGTCTCCACATAAGGAGAAATTTACAAACAGTCCCATAGTGAGTATAACCACTTATTGTACGACTCAATGTGTCTTCAGTGTACTATTTCAATGCCGACCATCGCCTCATAGTAGGCAAAGTCAGGCAAAATGCGTTAAAGCTGTGTTAACGTTACATTAAGTTGTTGTGTGCACACGTGTTTGTCAGTGACGTTGACTAAAGGCATGTGGCTGCTGTGTTGCAGGAACAGAGGAGTACAGCCATGGCAGGCAAGGGTCGTGGAGTGGGGGCCTTTACCTTTAACATCGAGGCTCTAGGCATCGGCAGGGGTAGCATGCCAGATTCCAGGGTGGGGCCCATGCCGCTGTTTCCAGTAAGTACCATACACACACACATAAACTCTCACACACACACACACAGAAATTCAGAGATGCCTGGATGACATATCACATTGCAGTATATCAAATTCACCTATTAAAACTCAAGGTGTTGTATGGCAGAACTTTTCAGGGATGATGTAATTCAAGGTATTTGTGGACAAATCAGAAAGACTTATGCATGAGATTTAGAAAGTAGACTTCCCAGAAAACATAGCTTCCATTATGATCTATTAGAAAACAATCTTATATTTGTCTCCTAAGCGTATATCCAAACCTCATGTTCCTCACAATTTGGCTGACTGGAAACAAGCCAGGGTTCTGTTTGTGTTTGTTGCCATATATCACCATGTTTTATATATGATTTAGTAGAGAAGTGTTGTGTACACAACTAAAGTAAAGTTTGTTGTCATGCTAATGTTCGAATAGACAATATTCTGTATGAGTTGCTCTAGGATGCTAATGTTATTTTCTGCATGATGCAACCAATATAAATCTATAGGGGCGGGCATAGCTTATTGTTATGGTCCTAACTGACTCCTTATCCGTAAACACTCTGTAAATAATGCATAAATGCTCTATGCATGTACAACCAGCACACAAAACATGACAGATTTGTGTATATCTTGCTCTAAGAGACTAATCATGACCATTTGATTTTGGTGGTATATATCCCCAAACCACCAGAACAAAATAGTGTTGTTCTTTTATGCGTGTGTCTTGCATTATGGTGAACAACTCAGGAGATAGTGAGCATAATTTTCTTGTTTTTCTTTACATTTTGAGCTAGCTTTTGCTCATTTATACCAAAAGCCCTTTGCACCATTACTTGGCAGGGTGGAATTCAGCTAATGCTGCATTTCAAATGTCATCTTTTTCAGATCAATGCAGGACCAATGTGGTACCTTTTACCATAAAGCACCTTAGTGTAATATATTTATTGCTAAGATATTCCCTAAAATTAAAATAAAGTGTGGTAAATAAGAATAGAAGGTAACACTGAAGCTGCATACATATAAACATATCCTTCATGCTGCCACATCAGCTAAATAGTGTACTTTAGGCAACACATTTACCTGTGAAAAAGTAACCTTACTGTCATAGCTATTATCTCCCTCCCAGAACATAGACTTTAAGCCGGTTCCGCTGAAAGCTGGTGAGGAAGAGGACTACATGCTGGCTTTGAAACAGGAAATGAGGGGAACGATGCAACAGCTACCTCACAACATCAAGTGTCATGCCAATAAAGCAGGTGAGGAGGAGAGCAGTGCATTAGAGACCTGACGGCTGGTAGTAATGCTATGGCAAGACAATTGGCTGCTGTGAGGGAAGATAATGCAGCACTTAGGAACTGAGACATTTCATTAGGGTTATATCTGGGAAAAGGAGAGACAGAGGAAGATATTTTGCAGAATATTGAGTTGCAGCTGCTGCCTCATCCGGTTGGCTTTAATACGATTGATATGATCTGTGCTGATAGGGCTTTCATGAGTTCCCTTATTCAGCAATGAGCTAAATATATTTCCAAAAAATAATGACGTTTTCAGAATGTCTTGTCTAAATGTTGTCAGATGCATCATATACGTGCTTTGTAATCACAGAATAATGTCACTTTAATCACAATGGACTAGGATTGATCAGGTTCAAATCACTTTTATTTGGGCACTAATTGAATTATATGTATATTTATGGAGACGACAATTGCTGACCTTTTAATCCAACTATGAGATATTGTTGCTCAGGAGTATCACAGTGTTTGTGTTGATGCAATCAATCATGGTTGTGATAAACTGCTGAGTGTGAGAGTTGTTGTTTAAGAGTGTTACTGAAGACATGTCTCTTGTTTACATACAACAGAAGTGGAGAGATACACGGAGAGATACCTGAAGCAACGCCAGTTAGATGATGCAAACTGGACTCCAGGTACATGCGCAATACATTGTCATGTGATCATAGCAAATTAAAAAAATATATTATTAATACTCTCTTTGACATTTTAGACTGGAGCCTCCTCCCAAAAGAATTGATGCCACAAAAGAAAAAAGTTGTTAAACCAGGTAAATAAAATACATTATATGTAATATTTGTGATATGTGAGATTCCATTTGATGTTTATAACAGTAACAACATAATGCCCTAATCCAACAGTCAAAAAGAAGAAAGCTGTGAAGATTTCACGCAAAGAAACGGAGGCTATGCTGACAAAATTAGATGTAAGTTTCTTTTCACTTGTTTGTTCAGTTTTCAAAGCCGAATATATATGTACTGCTATTTCAACACAGTCTCACGGCATTTCGTGTTATAGTCACGAAATTAATCTATTGATTCGTGTTCACCAACACGATTTTGTAATTTTTTTCGTGTCACACAGAAAGATTATAGAAGCAATGTATTTCTATTGGTAGTATGTTTCGTGCCTGCACCAAATAATAACAAATTAGAAGGAAAAAAATATGACAAAAAATACAGATTTCAGTATTCTGAGGCTCTGAGCCCCATTTATTTTCCTCGCGGACGGCAAAAAAACTCCGACATTATAGGGTTAGGCTTAGGGTAAGATATTGAGTAAGAAAATGTTTTTATGAACCACACAGCTTCCGGTCTTCCAAGACCCGACCGGACAAAAAGACGCAGTGCAGGCACGAAACATACTACCAATAGAATACATTGCTTTTAAATCGTTCAGTGCGACACGAAAAAAATGCGAAAATGGTGTTGGTGAACACGAATCAATAGATTAAATTAATTTCGTGACTATAACACGAAATGCCGTGAGACTGGGTTGGATATTTTCTTGCCTCAAGTGGAGCTGATGCACTTCTGAGCTAGCAAATGTTTTAACTTTTTACATAAATAATGTAATGTTGTAAATATTTCAGGAACTGGAAAAGAAAGATGACGGGAACCCTGAGAAATCGGATGATGAGACCGAAAAGAAAAAAGTGAATGAGGGAGAGGAGGAGGAAGAAATTGAAGCGGAAGAATATGATGAAGAAGATGTTGAAGAGGTGATATAACAAACAATAACCTGACATTTCTACTAGCAAATGTGTTGAATCCAAATGTCTGGTTGATGTAAGGAGACTTAATAATAATATATGTATGTTTCTTTTGTTCCCCTTTAGGAAAACGACTACATTGACAGCTATTTTGACAATGGCGAAGATTTTGGTGGTGCCGGCAGTGATGAGAACGTGGATGGCGAGGGAACATACTGAAAGAAGTGTGACTCAACCACGAAGACTGGGTTAAAGTAAACAATCATTGAGTGATTGTTTCTTAGTTAAATATTGTAGATAAGTTGGGAACGATGTGTAGCAGAGTGATATGTTTGTTTTCTTTATTCTGTGCGATCCTGAGTGACAAGCTTTTCTTTGACTTGTGTAAATAAGAAATGCCAAACGATGTGCACTGGCAATAATTTATTCAAAATAGATGTATTTTATTTTCCAGCCTGTGGCACACTTCCACAGGTTGAAAGGCACATACTGTCGACAACATGTAATGCTTTTTTATAAAGTATCAAGTGGACACGTTGATCAAATAAAAGGGCTATATAACAAAGTCTAAAATCTCAAATAATTACAAGTTTGAGTCACTTTGGGAATAATGTGCATTTCCCATTCTCCTCACCATGCTCTCCGAGGTTTTTAAATGGAAAAAAAATGCATTTCTCCCTGCAAGCTAACGCAAAAATAAATTCAAGCAACTTGAATGGAAATTCCGAAAATAGTTTAACTAGTACCTTCCAATACTGATATTGTAAGTAAAGGCTAATGCACTACATTCTTTAAATAAATTAGCACATATTAAACTCAATGGCCGCAGCCATACTTTCCCCAACACACAGCATTAGAAAATACACTATTTCATACATGGCAAGAAATACACTTAAATCAAACTGAGTAAAACAGCATTTAAATGAAATCTGGAGAATTAAAGATTATTTTCCATCCCTGTTTAAACAGAAATTGGGAAGTGCTGCTGTGTTTGTTTTTCATACAGTTTGAGGGTAGCTTATGGATAATGCAGATAACAAAAACATCACCTAGATTCTTACATTTTGAGCAGCAAATGGACCAACCCAACATTTTTGATAACCTGAAATCTATTGGGTATCCTGATATAAACTCTGAAATGTATCCCTTTTCAGCCAATCATAACATTTAGTTTCTTTAGGCCATTGATATTCCTTTTTAAAAAGCACATCTGTATATTGGCAGACACAAGGAATGTCTTTCAACCCTATAAAAATGACTTTTCGCACTATAAAAGAGACTCCACGTCAGACAGATTGCATTAGGTCTTTAAAAACGACTCAAGGGGTTCATCCACCCAGTTCTATTAGAGTTGGCATTTGTCTTCTATGAAAAGTTATAATCCCTCGTTATGTTTTCTCAAGTCCTCCGTGTTCACCGTCTCCTGCTTTATCTCCAGCCGCTCCCTGTGAATCTCCATTCAAAACATTTCCAGCATGTTCCACAGCGTGGTGGTCTTCTCTTGCAGGAATGTTTAAATGATTGCCGTCTGGATGTCCATGAGGTCTGTCGCCATGAGCCGCTGTAGGAATGCCGTGATGGCTGACTTCAGCTTTCATGAGAACCTCGTAGTACAGCAGATAAAACACAGGTGTGACGATGCCAACCACCAGCATGATGGCCACAGCCGTCCACCATCTCATGCCCCAGTCTGCCCCGTAATAAGGGTCCTTCCTCTGCACCGGTTTGTACTCTCCCTCTCCTAGTAGTGGCTGCTGTAGCGTTAAGGAGGAAACAACCTCATTCAGGCTGCTCCGAGACGGACCCGTGGACTTCACCAGCCGCTCGATGTCCTTGTCCTTCTCCAGGAGGAACCCTTCTATGCTGTCCGTGGAGGAGGAAGAGTCTGAGGAGGATTCCGAGGGGATGGAGGTTATGGGTGAGATCTGGGCCAGGTGCCTGGAGCCCGAGGGGGAGGCAGACTTGAGAGGCGCAGTGCTGTGCGTCTCAGTGAGGACACTGAAGCGCCTCACAGGGATCTTGACTGAGCGCAGGGCAAAGAAGTGCTGCTCCGTCAGGAGGTTGTTAGCACGCTTTATTTCAGCCACCTGAGAAACACAGTACAAATATACATTTACAATTCGGTTTACAAAACAAAATTGCTATGTGTCTGAATATTCTAGTCTCTAGAGAATAACAAACCGGGTATTAAATACAAGAAAATACTAAACTTATTAAATGAAAGTAAGGCTAGCCCAAACTAACAGAGTTGATAATCTTTTCCATGTGACAAACATACTGAGCAGTGGTACTGCAGGGCGATGCTGTTCAGCGTGTCCCCCTCCTGGATGTCTTTGGTCAGGTAGATGATATCGTCCATCCTCTCTCTGGAGGTGCTTCTCCGCAGCCTCTCTCTGCCACGGGGCCGCAGCTCATAGCTCTCCCCATCCTCTTCTGACAAGTCATTCTCTGAGCCATTGTTTCCAAACAGGTAGGCGTGACCGCCATTGGCCGGCTGCACCATGGTGGCGGACTGGAATCCATAGTGCTGGCTTATACCGGACATTTTTTTCTACACTGTATCGGGAAGAGAAGAGACAGGATTGAGTCACAAATGTGAAACTAAGGCAAACATCCTTAGGTCCTTCGAGTCAGATTAAACGCTTATTTAACAGTGTGTTTATCTTAAGATAAGACGAGGATATTATTGTAATGTTAAAGTGCGGTCGTGCAAGGCGCACAATTGGACAACTGACAGCTTGACAGGAGGAACATTAAAACATTTTCCATACATGCATGTGACTCTGATGTCATTGTCTACTTGTTTGACTAGATCAAGTTACCAGTGGGCGTATTAATAAGGATCTCTCTGTGTACTATTACAATAATGAATGTGAGTCCTACCTTCACTGTTTCAGACAACAAATATAACCAATCAAACCATACATTCAAGTATTATTTTGGTCTGTGAAACCAGCAAATTACTGAGTCAAGCAGAAGTTCACCACAGCAATGATACTTTCCTAAGGTTGTACTGCAAACTAGAGACTAAAGTCCATCTCTCTGACAGTCCAGGACATCCAAGTTACAGCTAGACTAGATAAGATTGGTGCTCTGTTAGTTTGATAAGTGGCAGGCAGTATGTTGAATACTCTAGAATGTCAATGTCCTCGGTTTTAGAAACATTTCTGATTACGATCATAGGAAGCTCAGTAGCTAATGTGATATCTTCTGAAATAGTGTTACCCAACTCTTCCCGTATTGCAGTTGTGATGCAACTGCTATGAGCAAAGCACCAAATGTCATATTCCTGGCGAGAAGTGATGCTAGCTAAATTAGCAGCAGTTGTGTTAAGTAACTAAGTACATTTACTCAAGTACTGTACTTAAGTACAATGTGGGGTACTTGTACTTTACCTGAGCATTTCAATGGTATGCTACTTTGTACTTCTACTCCACTACTAATCAGTATTTTTACTCCACTACATTTATGTTGTACCTTTGGTTACTTGGAAGATATAAATGAAATGGACCGATCTGCATAATGAATGCTTTTACTTTAAGTATATTTTTTGATGCCAAAACGTTTGTACTTTTACTTCAGTAACATGTTCAATACAGGACTTTTACTTGTAACAGAGTATTCCTGCTCTTTGGCATTTCTACTCTCACTTAAGTGCAGTTATTGAATACTTATTCCACCTCTGCTGAGCAGCTAACAATCATACATGTTGTCTATATGTACAACTGCAATTATTTTTGTTTAGAAGCACGCAGGGGTGTCGTTAAAAACTAAGCTTGCAAGGCTGATGTGACTAAGATCACAGGTTAGCAACTATTTAAATAACAACGTAGAAATGAAAAATAGCTAATACTACTCCTCAGTCTCTCACCCCACAGAAGTATAGGATATATCGTTCTCCAGCAGGAATAACTAGATAACACGTTTACTCCGGCAAATGACGTGTTAAATAACTGTCAGGTTGCTGAAAAGTTAGCAAAGTATGAACCCTTTACACAGGCTAGGCTAGTGCTAAGTAGCATCGCCCTGTGCATTGTGATTAGAAACGTATGGACATTTCTATCAGTCCGTTGTCACAGTTGGTGAATTATATATTTGGAGGAAGTCTTCAACAATAATCTTTACCTGAAAAGATGAACAGCAATCATTCAGTTGACCTGGATTATATCCATACTTCCCTTCTCTTTGGTCTCACCTTTGCATACCGTCCTAACTGCTAGCTAGCTACCGTTGAGTTGTTACTGTTCAACTTACGCCACGTCCACAGAATGTTTACGTAATGACGTAATGGCGTAACCACTGAGAGGACGTCCTTACTTTTAATCGAGAGATGGCGCTAAACGGCAAGCTACTTGTTGCTGGATACTTTACCCGCGAGGAAACCATAACAGGTCCCACGATTTTGGATTGATTTTGGATCGCTTATTTTTTTTCCCCAAGACTTGTGCTGTCGTTTTACTATCAGCTGATTGCTTAGCTCAATATGAAATGTCATGTTAAATCAAAGTCTCAATCCAGTAGAATAAGGTAGGCCTATGCATGGTTATTTCATCTAGTCTAACAAATGGCCTAAACACAAGTGTAATTTAAAGTATATTTAAAACACTGCAGTCCTCTTTATCGACTACATGTTTAAGATATGATTAAGATAAAGAAGAAACCGTATTGATCTCTATGTAGGGAAATGCAGGTGTTAAGCAGTGTTAACAGGAATATTGAAATACAGGATATGACTGGTAAGATTCAAGATTCAAAGGCTTTATTGTCATATGCACAGTAGCTACAGAGAGTAGTTATGGCAATGTAAATCTTAAGTCCCAGGCTCCTCCAACAATGCAACTTAAATATATATATAACTCATAAAGCAATAATAAATAAAAAAAAAAACAAGAAGAAACAGAGTATATAATCGATTTTAAGTTACTGATACAGAAGTACATAGCCTATTTGCAAAGTGAAGTGACAACAAAAGAGAGCAGACGGCTGTCCTGGACACAGGGTGGCGCTGTCCTCCACCTCACTGAACCCCACAGAGACAAATGGGATTAAAACATCTTGTCTCATTACGCAGAGACCGGGAGACGAGCCGGAGTCACTGAGAAGCTGCAAACTAATCTTTGTGTTGGAGCTGTGTCTGTGTGTCTGTGTGTGTGTACAGTAGCAGTAGCTCTCACATGGCTGCAGGAGGACCGTGATGTATGTGTAGAGAGAGGAAAATGACCTGAACGCACCAGGGAACCGCTCCGTCTCCGTTATTTCTCCCGGTCCCGTTAGATGACATACACACGCTTTAGAGCTGCTGAAGTGAAACACCGAGATCAGTAGTTTTTTTAGGAAACACTACAACATGAGATTGTTATTGGCTGCTGTTTGAGAAGAAGAGGACTCATCGATGTTACCCTCAACAATAACATTATAGTGTTTAATTTTGGACTAGGAGTCCAAGCAAGGTGTCAGGTAAGTGGGAATTATTCATCTTATTTTGCTTTTTTGAAATGCTTCTCTTTGTCATTGTGAGTGCCGGTTAATAATACAAATGTGGCGATGAGTAAAACTTTGCTGGGTAATTTCACAGAAAGACTTGCAAGCGAGATGATCATGCTTTGTGACACATGGTTATGAGACAAAACAGATTTATTTAGTCAGTAATGATTGGTGTCTCCAGGCGTTAGATTAATAGCTTTGAGAATAAAGCAAACACATGATTAGCGATACTCCTCATCAATTATGCCAGACAGCTCAAGCAGACATATTGTATAACACTATAAGAAAACGATTAAAAGTATTTGGCCACTGCTAATTTCTTTTTGCATCGTGCCAAGAATCCCCCTCGGAGCAGCTAATAAAATTGAAAAGCCTAAATATTGATTCAGCGCGATCAGTAAATGAATGGCCGGGCAGCCCATTGAGGAGAAGACAAATGCTTCCATGGTTACATCCAGGATCTCCAGTGTGATTACTGCGCTTTGTGTGGGGTTTCTCTCTCCCTCGGAAATAAAACAACAACTGCCACACATGGTGAGCTGGAGACCCTCTCATATTGGCCCCGATGGCTAATCTATAGGCTTACTCTGGCCACAAGTAATCTTGGCACATATAAAGTTGCGCACATGTGCTGTTTCTGTTAAACCAACGAGTTGAGCCTCATTGTGCTGCTGCGTCTTTGCGTAAAGATGTGCAAGCTTCGTATTTTACACAATTTGTCAGTCCTTGAATAATTAAATATGTCCACCTTATATCTTAATTGATTTGACATGATGTCATCTTGGTGCGTCTCTTGCAAATCTCTTTTGTTGCCTCCTCTGTGGAGCCCCAGCAGAGTTAAATCCTTTTTTCTCACTGGGGAGGAAGGGAGGGAGCTGCTTCTGTATCCATTCAGCACTTACACCTGCTCTTCCTCAGTGCCAGCCCTCACTCCACACTGTTTCTTGCATGTATATTTGTATGGAAGGGTGACATTGTTCAATCTGTTGGACAGTCGTGCCCCTTTGTTTGGATAGAAACAGCTAAATCTGCCTTACATTTTCACATTTTCAGTTTTCTCCCACCTACAATGTCTATTTCCATCATGCCAAACCCACGGGTCACCCTCTGTTGGTGCGTTCTTGTAGATGTAGGTCCTATAAGATCCACACTCAGAGCTCAGGTCCTTTGTTTGTCAGTGTTTATGTCATCGCCTGGCAGGGGTCAGCCCCCAGTCGCCTGTGTGAGGGTCTGAATGTGATTCACTGGGCGGAAACTGTTTTACTGCCTGCCTCTCTCTCCTTCTGTCTCACCCCCCTAATGGCTGCACGGTACAAAAGGGGGACAGTGCCATAAACAGAGCCTGTTCATTGATGAAAGGTGCTGAAGTGTTGCACATGGCTGACGTGCTGAGATTGATGTTAGCTGGGGAAGAGAAGGGCTCGCGTTCCCAGTGTGTGGGGATAGAGGGGAATAGAAGATGAAGGCACAACTCTACATACATGAAACCGCCCGGCAACAGGCTGTGCCCGCCAACGCTCATCTGTGCACCATGGATCACTGTTAGGGGCAATAGCTGTTAAGAATGTCTTTATCTGTTGAATGAAGGACATTTATATACTTACATTGAATGGCCTTGTAGATACTCACTATTCATCAGACATATCTGCGCTATTGGAACACAACTTCTTTGGTTGCTTTCTTACATGTTTTCTGTTGCTTATACCATATCCTCTTAAAAATAACATAAATAATCAGTACTGTGGAGAAGAGTATCACATTTTATTAGTAAACACAATGCAAAAGGTTTTTCTTGTGTATCCCTCAGTGAGTGTTCTGCGTTCCTACACACTACACCTCTTATTTGTTATGGTCTGGTTTTCATTTCCACACCTTGAGAGGATACAATGTTGCACCTACAGTACGTTCCCACTACTCCCTCAAATGACCATTTCCCCATGCAGTAGAACAAATCATAATCCTTTGGTGCAAAACAGATGTATCCTCTAAAGCTGCCTCACTCTGTGCTGGGAGCTGACTGCGCTCACTCCATGCTCATTTGGGTTTATGAACCTTAGCCAGGGTACAACATTAGCACCGTTCACCAGCCAAATGTTGGTCAAATGTGCCAGTGGCTAGGAGATTTGCACTCCTCACCATCTGCAAACACAATGGGAATCCTTGGAGTGGGTGGTACAATTTGAACATGTATAAGCCATTTGGCCACTTCAACAAATACTTTGCACCCTGCATAGGATTTGGAACACCTAAACAAAGTTTTGAGTAATAGATCCCTAGGTGTACATTTATGCATGCCATTTTACAACCACTAAGTTGTAGCTCCAAGATGCTACACAAAATTGAACATATGTACAAATCTTTACATTAAATATTATATAGAAAAAACAATCCAGTTACTATAAACTCTCTATAGCTAGAGACATCATACCCAATATGTTTATAACAGAAAAAAAGAGCCCATAAAGGAACATTATGCAAGCTGGGACATAATACATGTTTGCACTAGCACATATAGCCTTTTTATTTTTAATTCAACGTTTTTCTAAGCTGTTGATTATGTTTTTCGGTAGAAATCAGATCTTTAATTTGTCCCGCTACATGGAAATAGTAAAACAGTGTGACTGCAAAGGGGACAGTGCAGATAAAAAGGCAAATATAATAAGTATTGCTAAAAAAAAATAGCAATAATAATAAAACTAATAATCTTTTTTTAAAAGGTTGCAGCATGAGGAATAAAGTCTAATTCAGATACTAAACTGTACACAATTGCACATGAGCAGCATTGGTATTGCACAACAGATTTGAAGTTATAAGCAGGTAAGGAGTCATTTTCTCAGATTTAAAGATGATCGCCTTGGCACTGTCATATAATTAAATAATTCATTTAAGTGCTCCGACTCGAATCGAAGCTCCTGTTGCATCAGCTAATTTCTAATGCACATCCAGGTTGCTCCCCAAAGACATATAAAACACATCATCCTGTTGTGTATCTGCCATCATATCTAAAATCCTTGATACAGTAGATTTAGTGCCTGGAACAAATTCAAGCTATAAATTCGTCTTTTATAATGTTCTTTGGGATTTCAGAAATCAATCGACGCACAGGAGACAGTATTATGTTTTAGTAGCTGTTGTCCTTGGATTGGAGGGACAGGAGAGTGGTGTGCCCTCAGCGATGTCCAACAATCCTGCGGTCTCCTCAGCGGGTCTGATCCCCCGCATATTGTCCCTCGACGAGAGGGTGAGAGTTCGGCCCCCGCAGCAAACCCTCGGCCATGACCCCGCTGTCAACTCTCATGATTGTACACACACATGTATACATGCACACACACACACTTATTGTTATATCTTGTTGAGGCGACGAGATGCCCTCCCACAGCTGCCCAGCATCTCCACTCGAGTATTTAAGTCGCACTCTGACCTCTTGTGATGTTAGAGAAGCCGGTGGCCTCATATATTCTGCCGGACTCTCCCCGCTGCGCGCAGTATAATGCATGAGCAGTTCCTCCATTATGTTGAACAATGCTCACTGAAAGGAACAGCAGAGATATTTTAATTCATCTATAACAGTCAAAACATCCATTTGATTTAATGTGCACTACATTACATTGTAATTGCATTTAAATCCAGTTAAACTAAAGCTGCTATGTTTTATGTCAACTTGCAAACTGGATGGAAAATCAGGAACCACACCGAGCAACATGCTTTCCTCAAGTGTCAAAACATAGTGAAGAGAACAAGTCTGTTTCCTCTGGCTC